CACACACACTATTGAACGAATTGTTATATGTAAAAAATACACCAAAGACAAGTATGTATAACAAAAACAGAAACAACAATGATCGATACACAAAACGCACAGAAACGAAAAGAAATTTTTGCTGTTACAAATGTGGCAAAAAAGGTCACTATGCAAAAGAGTGCCGTTCGAAAAATGTCTGCAATCAAAGAGCTAATAAAAGCGAAGTAAAAAATTCCTCTTTAAGAGCAACAGAATCAGTTTTTTTGTGTCCAAATGGAAATGATAACTGGTGTTTGGACAGTGGATGCACTTCTCACATGAGCTCCGACAAGAATAATTTTGTTGATATGGTTGAATTAAATCAAGTGTTAAATTTAGCCAACAACAATTCTACGAATATTACTAGCACAGGTGACATAGAAGTAAAAGTGAACGAAAAAGGTTGTAAAAGGAATATAACATTAAGAGATCTGCTCTATGTATCGGACTTGCATACAAACTTGTTGTCGGTATCAAAAATAACAGACAGAGGATTTGAAGTACATTTTCGTAAAAATGATGCAAGTATTATTGATAAAAATGGAGAAGTATTGTTCACTGCAGAACGAAATGGTAATTTATATTTTATGAAAAACCATAAAATCAGTGCATTTATATCTGAAGCTAAAAGTGCAATAAACCTATGGAACTGTAGAATGGACAATCTGAACGAACGTGATTTAAAGCAAATGGCAAAAAACGGCGATGTATACGGACTGAAAATAAATTCAAAAGATAAATTACTAGATTGTGAAATATGTGAAAAACTAAATACTTTTATTCGAAAAGTATCGGAAATCGTACAGAAGATTTATTAGAAATCGTGCATAGCGACATATGCGGTCCGATGCGGTGTACCTCAAATGACGGTAAAAACTATTTTGTAACATTTATTGACGATAAATCGCGTTGGTGTGAAATTTACATTATTAAACAAAAATCAGATGTATTCGAAGCATTCACAAAATTTAAAAATGCGGCAGAGACGTTCATTGGTAAGAAAGTAAAAACCAGTGAACTGGCGTGCATTAGCATAGATGAAACTCCGCCAAATTGGTTCACAGCGAATATTAGACGCGATGAAATAGAATGGACAAAGGCTATTGAAGATGAATATTTAGCATTAATCTCAAACGAAACTTCAGAAATCGTGGAGAAACCCAATGAAAATAAAGCAGTCGGAAGTCGTTTAGTACTACGAACCAAAGAAAATGGTAAGAAAAAAAGCACGACTCGTAGCTAAAGGCTACGCTCAACGACAAGGGGAGGATTTCCATGATACTTACTCGCCAGTGGCACGCTATACATCAATCCGCTTGCTTGCAGCATTGGCAGCTGAAATGGACTTGGAGATTCACCAAATGGACGTGGTCACTGCTTATCTTAACGGAGAGCTTGAAGAAGTAATATACATGGAAGTACCAGAAATGCTAACTGAAGTTTTAAATAAAATAAAATCAGGTGAACCAACAGGTTATCAGGGTGTAACAAAGCATAGTAAAAATATCGAAGAAACAACCGATAAATGGTTAAAAGCACTGCAAAAGAAGAACCCTGTATGCTTGCTGAAAAATGCGTTATATGGACTGCGACAGTCGGGTCTAATGTGTTACAATCGTTTAACAACTAAATTGAAACAGCTTGGTTTAAAAGCTTCAATGCAAGATCCATGTCTTTTTATCAAACAAAAAGGTAAACAATTATTAATAATTATCAAATATGTAGATAATCTATTACTAGCATCAAACAACAGCATGTGGCTCAAAAGCACAAAACATTCATTAAGCGAATCTTTCGAGATGAAAGATATTGGTCCAGTAAAACATTGTGTGGGAATTGACTTCCAGCAAAACTTGGGGTCACATCAAATTATTTTAACACAACAAGCCTATATTCAAAAATTATTAAAACGTTTCAATATGGCTGAATGTAAACCAGCAAAAACTCCCATGAAGACAAACTACAAAACTGAAAAACCAAATGATATTGATGAAGAAGTCATGGCAAGGTATTCCTATCAAAAGCTAATAGGAACCCTTTTGTACCTACCAGTTACAACAAGACCAGACATAGCATTTGCAGTAAACTACATGAGCCAGTTTAATACAAACTACAATGAGGAGCACTGAAGAGCTGCAAAGTGAATTTTACGGTATTTTAATGGTACCAAAAAATATGGACTTCTCTACACACAAAATAATAAAACACTTTATGGTGTAGCCGATGCAGATTGGGGTGCGAATTTGATCGATAGGCGATCGTATAGCGGATACGCGTTGGCTAGCGCAGCAATAAGCTGGGAGGCGCGCAAATAGCGTACAGTGGCACTTTCTAGTACCGAGGCTGAATACATGGCTATGGCAGAAGCAACGAAAGAAGCAATATATCCACAAGGTATTTTGAAAGACTTAGACATATCATGTAAAAATGTGAATTTATTCAATGACAGCCAAAGTGCGCAAAAACTCATTCAGTGCTTCGGGTACAGCTCGCTCACAAAACACATCGATGTACGTCATCATTTCGTTAAAGAGTGCTACCAAAGCGGGAAAATTGAGTTTATGTACATGCCAACCGAAGACATGCCAGCAGATGTCCTCACGAAAGGATTAAACAGTGTTAAGCACTTTAAATGGGTAACAGCGTTGGGTATGGCGGATAGTTTTTCTACTTCGAAGGGAGGTGTTGGAACAACGAAGTAATATCGACTATTTAATGTTTCAATTTACACTTTGTTCCCATTTTATAATATACGTACTTAATAAAGTTCTTACTTTTCTACTTTACTTTGAACGTAGCATTCAGACAGAAAGTGTGTTGAATTTTTTTTTCTAATAAAAACTATTAATAAAAATAAAATCCCACAATCTATGTTTAAAGTTGAACTTTACCCGGAAGCTTCTAAGCTTAAAAAATGAAAGCCATCCCATCTATAACCTGCAATTCTAACTTCACCGCAGAATTAGCGTTGAGGAGCCTCACAAGCGAAAGACTCCAGTGCAATGCCTAAACTGCCAAGAGTATGGGCACACTAAGTCATATTGCACTCTTCGAACAGTATGCGTAGCATGTGGCGAGCTTCCCTGTAGTTCCGAATGCGATAAAAAGGCATTAAAGGATTCCAACCCCAAAAAATGTAGCAACTGCAGTGAAAATCTCACCGCAAACTACAGAGACTGTCCTATTTATAAAAAGCACTGAAGCACAGTTTAGCGCTGCATAAAGAATCGTTGCGTAATCCTACAAGAAATAACCCCATCAAATTAGTTGAAGTACCCCAACCTTTAACTTCTAAGCCTGTTACATCAGGTGTCTCATATGCTAATGTTGTTAAATCTAACAAGCAACAAGCCCCCCAGTTTAAAGTAATAGTTTGGAAATGATGGTCTCCACTCTCATCCAGAGCTTAACTCAGTTTATGTCAATCACGCACACTACTCTTAACGAGATAGTTAAAATGCAAAGCCAATTAATGCAAATGTTTTTGTCATGAGTACTTTGAAAATTTGTACATGGAATGCAAACGGCTTAAGCCAACATAAACTTGAACTCACAAACTTCATGGCCGGAGAAAGTGTGGATGTAATGCTTTGCTCAGAAACACATCTAACAAACAAAAATTTCTTTTCTATTCCTAGTGATGCAGGAATTTTGATACCAAAGCGTCTAAAACATAATTTTCTAGGTACATATGCTCATAATTATATGCAAGCCACATCAGTATGCCTTGAGCACAAAGGGAAAAATTTGGTTTTATCGGCAGTTTACTTCATCCCTGACTTCAACATTACTGAGACCCAATTTACAGATAAATTCTTATCTCTAGGTGACAAATTTTTTGCAGCAGGAGACTACAACGCCATGTACTCGTATTGGGGTTCACGGCTCTGTAATCCAAAAGGTAATTTGTGTTCTGACCATTCTGCAGTTACATTTTGCTTACTTAATGGTCCTCAGTTATATGACTGTTCCTATAATCTTACAAGTTCTAGAACAAACTGGCTCAAATATAAAAAGTACTTTAGTTCACACATACACACAAATTACAAGATAAAGTGTAAATCTCATATTGAGGACGCAACCTCGGTTTTAAACTCAATTCTGATTTCAGCAGCAGAAAACTCTACTTATAAAGAAAATAGAATTTACACATCCAATAAAGTACTTACAAATAATAGGCTAAGGCGCGAATAACAAAAATCTAGGTCACCTTTAGCGAAAAACTTATTTAAGGAAGCCCAAAGGAGACTTAGATCTGCATTAAGCAAGGAAACCAAAGTCAAGTAGTATAATTATATTCAAAATCTATGTCCAAATGGCAAAAACCATTTATCCGTGTGGGATGCTAGCAAAGGTATAAATTCCCTCATAGAATCCAATTCTCTAATAAGAAACTCTCTCGGAAACTGGGCGCGAAGTGATGAAGAAAAATCTAACGTTTTTGCTGATTACCTAAAAGAGGTGTTTCAACCAAATCCTGCAACAGGACAAAATATTCACGCGCCATTATGTAGCATTAGGCTTTTTGTTATTGTACTGCGTAATATTTTCACCACATTACACAAAATTTTTGAATATTTTTTGAATAATCCAGAAAAATTTATACACAATTTTTGGAGTAATTCTCAGTTTCTTTTCTTTATCTTCTTTGCTTATCACGTTCTCAGCAGCACATCATAAGATGAAAACTTGAACACTCCAACCTAATTCACATCCACTTGCTCAAAAGGGATGTACAATCAATATCTTCCAAATGCGAAAGAAATATTAAATAAAATCTACATATAATTCGTAACATGAATATAAGCATAGGGCGAAGGACCTTGTTGTCCAGTTCATAATTCATAGTTAACTTTAAAATTAATTTTAATGTCAGTTCACAAATAAATAAATAAATATATTTTAATAAATTTTCCAAGTGAACAAAAACTGTGATTTAAAATAAGATTATAATAAATTTTTTATTTCTTCTCTTGCAGATCATGTATAATTGAGTTATTTAAGAAGTCTATTACAAAACTCTATGAAGAAAACAAAAATAGTCTTCAAGATGTAAGTTCTAACTTGTCATATCAACAGTTACTTGACAGATATGCTGAAAATTGTAAAAACTAGTTAAAAATAAAATACTAATTACTTGTTTTTATGCTATAATACTGGCTCAGGAGACGTTATTCTGACTTTTTATTAATTTTTTTGACTTATAATTATATTTTATAAACATATTATTTCTTCAAATAAACAGTTGTATTAAAACGTCAATTAACATGAAGATTAGTTTGCTGGTGCAGTAACAAAATCAAATGTTATTGATATTATAGCTTTTACATATTGTTTAATATGATATAATAAAAAAATAACAGAAAACTACGTTTTTTATTTCCATAGTTTATATGTAAACAAACAATTCTTGTTTATAGAACAACAAACATTAGGGTGGCATAAAAAAATATTTTTAAATCAATTCGTGTATAAAGCATTAACTTCTTAATTTCGGTCTTGCTTTAGTAACTTCTGTAGGTGTGATAAAACTGATAATATTAATATAGCCAAATATCCTTAAAAAAATTGAATGAAAAAATTAAAATAAAATAAAAAAAAGTTTAAAGTGACTAGTTGATGCCGAAAGTATTGGAGTCAACTCCAGATATTTTTGTATTGCAGGTGGAGACAAAAACCGGAGTCAATGATTGACAAACAGTCTTACAAAGTCTTACAATTGAAAATGTTTTCAGAGAAACAAAATTCTTTACAAAGTATTGCAAAATACTCAAAATTATAACGCATTATTTCTACAATATTATTACAAAATTAAAAACTTTTTTTCTGAAATACTATCACGACAACACTCTATTGACTAAGCAATTAACAAATAACATAAAATTGAGCAAATAGAATGTGGAGAAGGAAGTATTTTAAATGCAGTAAATATGCATATATGGGATACCGTGTTCAAAGGCGGAAGAAGAAACAATATCGTGGTCTAGGAAAAGATTAATAGTTTTTTTAGTTTGTTTTGTTTTTATTTTCGTGAAGAATGTTATCTAACAAAGAAATAACGATGGACGTTTTTTGTTTTTTTTTCTGTAGTTGATAAAGTTGTATTCACTATTCGGCACAGTTACCTCTAACCTGCTGGTTTAAGAGATTTGTAAGGAAAGAAATATTCACATATTTTCAACCTACATAGTTTCAATATAACAACAAGCAAGCAACAGCACCAACACTATACTAGTAACTTCAAAAGACATTTTAGTTACACATCACAATACACTATGTTTAACACGCAACATATAAGATAATTTCACTCACTTTAAGAATTTTCAATATGATCTAAAATAAAATAGATTAATTTTATTTAATATATATTATATTAAAATAACTCACAGGTAATACCCCGTATCTGCATCGGTAACATACGGAATACATCTGAAATTACTATTATAATTAACAAAAAAATGTATTTAAATAAGTGAAGAATATACACACCTTATTTATTCACTATACTATTTATATATTTATTTTATTTATTTTTATTTGTTTTTATTATTTATTAATTCTTTTTATTTATTTATTTATCAATAAATAAATATAAATAATAAAACCGCAAACACCGGCATTATATAAACACGTTTGTTAACAAAACAAGAAACGTCAAAGCATGAAAGCTTTGATTGAACTAAATACAAAGCACGGCGAATTTAAGAACACACGAAAACACAAAGCACAGAAATTACACCCAGGCGAACAACAGCAACAAAAGACAACAAGTATCAAAAATACCAACGGCAAATGTACCGATGCGCTACAGGAAAAACTTCGGTCGTTTGAGTATAAATAAACGCGCATTGTACAAGTAGGGGCACTTGTTGGAAACTCTCAAAGGTAGTAATACGTCTTTGTGAAATAAGTCAGTAGAACTATAACATCAAGGTAGTACATACGTCTTGACTAGTAGTATTGTATAGCATCAAGGAAATATATACGTCTTGACAAGTAGATTGTATATGTAGTCTTACATGTAAATCAAGCCAAGGTAGTCATGATACATCTTGGCTAATAGGATTTTCTGTAGGTTTGAGTTAGGGTAGTAATACGTCCTAACATTAATGAATGCTAACCAAGGCTGTAACCCAGCATAGCACTTCTAATCTCCAGTTAACGACGTCTTCTGACAAAACACCAAGATTAGCACAAGTAGTGTCGTCTGACAGCAACATTTCAAGCACGTGGAAACAACAGCATTATATTATAATTATATTAGATTGTAAAACCTTATTTTATTTTAAATTCTCCTAAATAAATAATTGAATTACTACATCACATTGTCTTTGACTTCCAAAATAAAAATTCTATTGCAACGACCCATGGCCGACGGCTAAGTATACCTCAGCATCATCAGCGACAGAAAGTGTGTCGTTACAGATTGTAACGACTAACATTTTATCACATAAAAATTTAGTGTTACAAAGCCGTGGACATGGTTAACTACAGAAAAGGAACCTGTTATATTATGAAACATCATAATAAAAACCAATATAGTATCACCAGTAACAGTTGTAGTACTTTGCACGTAGTTAACAAATAAATGAATGGGACATTATTTTATTCTAAGAAATTATTATAAGATTAAGCAAATCGAGAACATGGTGTTAGGTGTAAATATAAAAGTTTAAGATTAAATCAGAACTGTAAAAAACAAAACAAAAAAATTAAACATTAAGCATTAATAGAGCTACAGAAAAGTCGAACAAAGTAACATAGCAGAACTTGCAAAGTTGGAAGACCAGATAAAAATCTTGAAAAAGGCATTAATGCTAAATAATCAACACCACGTAATACAGGTAACACAAGTGCAAATAAAAAAAAATTCTACAGTTAACAGTACAGTTAAGGTTCGAAAACAAAAACAAAAATAAAAGTTGATATTTCACATGTTCGAAACCGAACAATGTCCACTACTAATAGCTCGAATATGTAAAGAGATGGAACTCATAAAAATATGCAAAAATGTGAAGGAAGATACCAACAGTGAAAGTATATGTGGGATTATAAACAAATAAAAAGAGTTATTCTAGCGGCTAGCGAAAATCGAAGGAAAAATTTCAAAAACATAACACCAAAAAGATCGAAAACTGAAAACTACTCTAGACGAAATGGAAAAACAACACGTTATCACCAGAGAAGTCGAACACTCAGATTGGGACAGCAATTTAGAAACCGTCAGGAAAAGCAACAATAAACTAAGTATATTTTTTTTTATCCAAAACAGCTTATGTAAGCACTAAAATATTTTAAATATGAACTACTTAAATAAATATCAACTACTCAAATTAAAAACATCACTGGGATATGATGGTATTACCGGAAAAATTCTGAGTTGCCCCAACAAGCACTTGTATACCTGAGAAACGTGTTTAATTGCGTTCTTCATTTTAAGTATTTTCCAAAATTATGGAAAGTATCAGAAGTAATAACTATACCCAAACCAAATAAAGATATAACTCTTAGAGACTCATACAGACCAATTAGCTTACTGCCAATCATGTCAAAATTGTTTGAAAAAATACTTTTGGCAGGATTAGAACCGATTCTCCACAAAGAAAAATTTATTCCTGATCACCAATTCGGCTTTCGGAAAAAATATTCGACTATACAACAAGTTCACAGAGTAGTTAATAAATTTACAAGCGATATTGACTCAAAACAATTTTCTTCGGCGGTATATCTAGACGTTGCAAAGGCATTTGACAGCGTTTGGCAGGGGGTTTCCTAACCAAATTGTCCCAGCTACTCCTAAAAAATGCTTGCCTCATACTAAAGAGCTACCTATAAAATAGATATTTTATGTGAAGTATAAAAACTCAATCTCTGAACTTAAAAAAAATGAAAGCTGGTGTGCCACAAGGTAGTGTATTACGTCCATTACTCTACTCGCTATACACGGCTAATATCCCGACACCTTCTGAACCTCAAAGTTTGATAGGAACTTTTGCAGACAATACAGCATTAAATGCAGCTAATAAAAATTTTAACAAATCCACAGACAACTTGCAGAATTACTTAAACGCAAAGCTTGAATGATCCGACAAATGGGGAGTTAAAATAAATACAAGCAAAACTGTACATGTTATCTACACGAATAAAAAATATGACCTAAAACGTATAAAAATTAACAATGGTGAAGTCTTCACATACACAAAGGCAAATTAACTTGGTATTACTATAGATAGCAGATTAAGTTCTAAAGACCACATCAAAACTAAATGTAAGGAAATAAAGCGTCGCTGTTAGTAGATCAGGCATTAATAAATGCAACCCCGCGTGCAGAGTAAATTTGTGATGACAGTTCAACAAAGTCAAGTCAGTCAGTCATCTACATCGTGCCGCCGTATCAACTTCAACTTTTAACACACACACACGCACACGCACACATACACGCACATATTCCCTTGAATATTGAATTCAAAAGATCAGCAGAAACAATAACAAGTGTCCACCAAGACCACATCAAAAGTATACTGCCCGAGGAAATAGAGGCCAAAACGTTTACGGTAGAAGCTAACTTTGAACTACGATATCTGGACGAAATAACCACAGAAGAGGAAATAATTGCTGCATGGAAAAACCAAATAGGCGAAATACATCCCTCGGCGATTAAAACAATAAGAAACGCCCCTGGAGGTACCAGAACGGCTAAAATTGTGATACCAAAGAAACAGGCCGGTAAAGTAGAGGAGGCAAACTAAAAGTTACTCCCAGGAGATGTTACAAATACTTTGATTTCGGACATGTGGCAAGGAACTGTCAGAGCTCCAAAGACTGGATTAAACACTGCTACAAGTGTGGTGGATAGGACCACTTCGCTAAAGCGTATCAAGGTGCCCCTCACTGTTTATTTTGTAGAACTGACACAAATATTGTCGCTAATCATATTACGGGAGGATCTAAATGTCCCCACTATCTGACTGCCCGATAAAAGTCCTACAGCTGAACTTAATCCACTGTGAAGCGGCACAGGATCTTTTAAAGCAGACTGTACGAAAACTCAAAATAGATCTAGCTATAATGAGTGAACATTATAGTACACTAGACAATCAGTGCTGGGCTACCAGCAGGTGCAACAAGGCATTGATATGAACGTATGGTAAATTTCCACTGGAGAAGGTTTACGACGGAGGGGAAGCATACGTAAAAAGTACAGAGAACGAAATAACGTTTTTCAGCTGTTATTTAACCCCAGTCTATCAATCGAAGAATACAAACAAAGACTGGACGATATTGTTAGCGACGCTAAAAATATGAAGTCGATAGTGATTGTCGGCGACTTCAACGCCTG